CAAGGAACACCTTGCTCATACTTAGGATTTCATTCCTACAAAGTATCTCACCCTTTTTAAGTAGTAAAATAATTTCGTCAAGTCCTTTTTCCATGCCCTTTAAGCACCTTTCTGTCTCCCCAAATTATCCACCTCTACAGAGCTTACTGGAGAAAATGAACATCTAGCAGAGCATTCTGCTCTGTCTTCCTAAATTACATATTCCCTTGGATCCTGCAGTCTTACCCAAAGGTACTATACTATAGCCACTTATAAAGGGAAGCTGTTGGAATTATCTCCTTCATGAGAATCTAAAAGATGCTTATGGACAACAGGGCAATATATAACTAGCCCAACTCAAGACAACAGAAAAAGTCAGTTTCAAACAGAGTTGCTGACTACCAATTAATAATGGAATGAATGAATGAAGTCAGTGACAAACCAAAGGGGGCAATATGCAGGCGACAGAGGAATGTACTGCCTCTGAAGAGTTTAATCCCAACCACCTACCCCCACCACCTCCCTTCCCCAGTATGGCACACTACTGCTCCGTGTCCTCTGGTACACTCATTAGAATGCTAAGTCTCTATGGTTTTTTTCAAGCTAGACTTAGGGTCCGTGATTAAAATGCTTGAGTGGTGTAAGTTTTATGAAACATGCACCTTTATTTGTCTTTACATGAGATAAAAGTAAAAACAGAAAAATGAAAAATCCTTATGAAACACAGCAAGCTTAACTCTAACCACCTTAAAACAGTCCTTACAACTTCAGTGTAGGTAAGATCACTTGGTGTGTGTGAAATACAGAATCCCAGGGAACACCTCCAAACAATACTGATTCTGATATAAATAGCCTGCAGGTCTCTTTGAAATATCAACCAGATTATAATCAACACTCCCCAACTTTCCAGATTATAGGCAACTGACAGCAATATACAGCCCAACCCACCAATTTACACAACTGGATCTTGCTAGAACCATGTTACACATGCAAAATTTCAGACCAGACTCCTAATTATAGCCAGTAGTGAAGAAAGGAAAAAGTATGCATTCTTCTCAACTTTTCAAAAGTAGGTAGTTAACAGTCTTCATGAAGTCTGGGGTCATCCTTAAGTATTAGTACACTGATAAATTGCACTATTAAGTAAACTGCATCCAAAGAAATTTACTTTATTGAGATGTGCATCCATTATGCATGGATCTAGATTTTCACATTTCAGGTTAATCTGACTCCAAACCAGATAAACTCATTATACATTTCAGGACCAACACAAATACTGTGATGGACAGTGGGATCAGTCCTTGTTTTAAAATTCCCAATACCTCAAGGCCATAAAGTACTTTTGAAGTACAAGACAACTTCAAAGAACTTTCCCAAGCAGTAAAACAAAGCACATAAAAGTATAGAATACAAAGACCTAATAATCAGATCCTAATGTTATTGAGACTACCTTTCAAAACTATCTCGGCATGAATGGCACCTGGACAGGTGTCCACATACTATATTCTAACTTGTATACAACGAAGAATAGTGAAGTAACTGCCACCCCAATGTGGAAAGAGTAATGTAGTAATAAGACCTGCAACCTTAAAATACGTATTTGAAGGTTAAAAAAGGAGTAAGAGGAAACCCAGAACCCCAGGAAGAGAGATTAACTAACTCACCTCGTAGCAAACATCTAGTAAACCAAAAGGTATCAAAATTTGACTTAGGACAAGAGACCTAGGAAGGGGGGTTGGTAGCTCTAACAGGGTCTACAAAACTGTTGAGAGAAGTGAAATCAAAGCTTCCTAACACTGTCCAATAGGTAAATGAGATTTGTTCTATAATAAACTGGCAAACTACTTGTAAACTTCTACTTCGCTGACCAAATTTTAGAAGGGTACTGAACCACTAACATTTTGTCTCCCCAAATCTGTCATTACCACACACACACAAAAAGGGTGCTAAAAGTAAACACGCACCTGGTCTTCTGAAATCCTAAAACCCATTACTTAAAAAAAGGCGGGGGTGGGGGGGGCAACATAAAAAATATATAAGGTCAAAGAAAATGGGAGAGGGAATTCCCTGGCGGTCCAGTGGTTTTAGACTCTGCGCTTTCATTGCCATGGGCGCAGGTTCAATCCCTGGACTGGGAACTAAGATCCCACAAGCCATGCAGCCAAAAACAAAAAGAAAATGGGAGAGGAAACTACAAAATTTTGGAAGCTGCAAACCTTTGAATAAATGGCAATTGACTAAGGAGACAAGAAAACTTAATATTCTGTCAGCAGTGAGGATATTTCAGATTGTACCACAGAACCCCCAAAGGCTTATTAGCAATCGGCAGCCCAGGTATCTCTGTAAACAGAGGTAAAAGGGACTAAAAGAGGATTGGTTGAAAGTCTGTTTGACAAGCAGTTAAACCTCCAGATCCCCTCTGTACTGCTGGACAGCTGAACTCTTCCATCCTGGCAGAAACTTGTCTGAAGCAGGTAAGAGGGTGGTCTTCGGACTCAATAGGCATACAATGATGAAAATAAAGGAGTTCAAGTAGTTTACTTGTTCAGATCCCTCAGGTTTCTCCCCTCACTGGGATCTCAGAACACTGGCAGCCAGGTTTTTTACCCTCCAGGCAGCAGAGTAGAAAAAGACTTCTCTGATGAACCTGATCAGCTCAAGGAAGGAAAAAAAAAATGTATCAAGAGGTTCCTCAATAAAATGACACAGCCCGATCACCCAGTAGTGAACCCCATGGTTGACAAATACCCATCCCTCAGCCCCACAAATTCACAACATCCAAGCTGCTTTAAAAATGCTGCACTCCTAAATGTGAGACAAGGATCACCAAACATTTGAGGAAGATTATAGGCAGAGGCCAAAGCAACAGGCAAGAAAAGCATCTTGGAGGAAACAAACTCTGAAAGTTACTGTTAACTTTAGACTTGAATAAATGATAATACACACCCATGTAAGAACAGGTTACTACTTGTAACACAGGTTGGAGAAAGAGGTCTTAGATATTAGATGACTGAAATTAAAAACCTTAAAAAAAGTTGAAAGATTAAGTTGTAAAAATCGCTCAAAGGATAACAGCCTGCAACGGAAAACAGGAAAACCAGATACGCAGGGCTCACACCCAAAAAACAATTCTGGAGGAAAGACTGGGGTGGTGAAGGACATGAGGAAAGATCAGCTCCAGTAACATTTCCCAGGATTGAAGAGCATGTTTACACAATGACAGGACCCACTGAGTGCTCAGCACAATGGATGAAACAAACCCAAGATAGTCATGAAACTGGAGAACACTGACAGTGGTAAAACCCTAAGCATTTCACATGAATGATGAAAAATCAAACAGCATCAAATCTCTTCACTAAATCTTGAATTCTCCATTGAGCCAAACTAGTTATTCAGTTACAAGGATGGAACAGACCTTTATAGATGGGAAGGCCTCAGAAGCAGGAAGATGGGCTATACAAAAGCAAGCCCTGGGATTCAAGAAATAAAGGACCTAAGTTGACAGGCACAAGGCAACGCCCCAGAATGACGGCAAGGCCCCAACTCAAGTTATTCAACAATTCTGAAGGGCAAGGAGTTCAGATTGAAATATAAAAGACCTAAGAAAAACATGAAGCTGATAAATGGATTTGTACAAAGGGAGAGTTTTTCAATTCTGTGCAAGTC